TTTCAAGGGAAGGCAGTAACACCTCTCAAGCAGAAGTCAATGATGAAGAGTCCTCCTTTCCTTATTATGTATGTAGCACAAATGGGTTTTATAGCAGAGCCCAGAAGAAGCCTTATTCTCCATTAGATCATACATAGGGCTTTGGATCATATATTAGCATTTCAGCTTTCATTTCACAAAGTGTTTAGGCATGTTGAATATTTTAAAAAAAATAATTAAAAATGTAACTTGATGTAATCAATATCTTGATTTCTCTCTGCATCTTTAAAGATCTTGAAGGAATATATTTGAAAAATACAAAATGGCCCATATGTCGTAATAAGGTCTTCTCTTCAGGAATGGTAAATCAGTGTTTTTGACCATCAACTTCTATGTTTTAGATAAATTAAATGAAGAAGATTTTTAAATCTTAGATACCTATAGGGGCATAAAACTTAAGAGAATATAGCAACCTGCACCATAAAACATAGAAACTTCACCAGCTAACTCTTTACAGTAAACACTTCTTGCAGGAAACAGAACAATGGGAAGGATGCAAGAGATGACCTAGTGTTTTCCAGAAACTACTTAAACCAGCTAACAGTAAATAACAGGTATATACACTTGTTTTAGTGATGTAAAGATTAGTTTGGTGCTAAAGTAATAGAACGCTTCAGACTAAAATGGCTCCTCCTGTACTGAGCGCAGGAAGCCTCTCCTTGCAAGTACCATCAGGAATTCATGAGAACTTAAGAGTTAAGTTAGCTTACACTTAATTAAGTTAGCTGAAGATGTCTTCCATCAGTAAGGATCTCCTTCCTTTAATTGCACTGATACCTTATGCCTTGCATCATTCTTCAGTTCCCTGTCATTGTGCAGCAAAGATTGTATGTACGTTTTTAACTTCTAGGTCATGGATGCTTGGTGCTATTGATTTCTGATACTCTAATGGTCATAGTGCAGGATTAGGGTTTGTCAGAATGACTACTGGGATTCACAGAGACTGTCTTTGCTGCATGTGTGAAAGGAGTGCACCGTAAGAATGCAGTGGGACCTATGTTATCAAGGTGAGAGTGGCTTTCCTGTTGTCATAGAGTGTCCCCTGGTCCTATTGTCAGGGGAAGTAATGGTTGTGAAACTGGTGTCTTTATATCAAATAAGTAAGAAGTCCTTCATCACAGTTTATGAGGCCTCTTCTTTGTCACACATAATAGGTGCTGATGAATCTCTCTTGGAACCAATTTTAATTGTGAGTACAGAGCACTGCTTAATTTTGAGCCATTATTGAAGGGCTCTGAAAGTCCTGAAAAGTGGTGTTATTCCATATTAAATGATTTGGAACACCTGTAGCATATCCAGCTCCTCACTCTTTTTGTAAAGCTCCCTGAATCACCCTAGTTCCTGAGACTGGCTTCCATCAGCTGCTGTACTCCCTCTGCACTAAGTAAAGTGCCCATCCCCATTGCTGCTACCAAAACCTCAGTAACCTTTCATTTTTTTTTTATTTATAGCTTAAACACAATAAAATAATGTCTTTTAGTGCCAAGAGTAAAAAGCAGAAGAGCAATATGGCTTTAAAATGGCTTTAAACTGTGGGTTTAGAATAGATATTAAGAGGAAATTGTTCACAGTGAGGGTGGTGAGGCACTGGAACAGGTTACCAAGAGAAGCTGTGGCTGCCCCATCCCTGAAAATATTCAAGGCCAGGTTGGCTGAGCATCTGAGCAACCAGGTCTAGTGGAAGGTTTGAAACTAGAGGGTCTTTACGGTCCTTTTCAATCCTAACTATTCTGTGAATCTATGATTCAATGTGTGACTATCTACCCAGAGAATCAGCAAGCAGAATTGCCCAAAAAAGCCATGTTGATAGATAAAACAGTTAAATACAGGAAAGGAAGCATAGGATTGAATAGCCAGAGTGTTGTAGCTTGTAGTAGCTTGTCCCTTGGATAGGTATTACAACAAAATATGTTCCTATATAATAAGGAGCAAAGTCATCCTTCTGTTCCTATACTCAGAACCACACATATTTTGCAAGTAAAGAGCTTAAGAAGCATAGTTGTTCTATAGGCAGGAAATCAAAAGAAGCACAGTTCTATCAGAAACTGACAATCTTGTCCCCAGCTTCTCCTCTGTCACAAGAGCCCCAACACTTCTCCACATCCCCAATGCATCCCAATGAAACACGAGAGCACTGCTGTTGTTATTCTAAACAAACATCTGCTGAGGCACCAGCCAGATCCTTCACTTTCTCTTAGCTGGGCCATTAGCCTGGACCTCCTTTCTACCCAGGCATTAGTATTCATTACAAGAGTGGTAACTTAACTGTCTTTGAAGCTTCTGCTTGTCTTCCATTTGGGATTGAGGTGGGTCAACAGACGCAAAATTTAACAGTGGCAACAGTTAGTACTTTTTTCTTTTAAAGGAGGCATAAAGTGTTCACTAAAACTCTTAAGGTTCCCTAAACACTTTTCTAATATCACAGATAACACAAACATAGAGTACACAGGTACATGCAGTTCAGAATGAAGGAGTATTTTAGCACTGTCTAGAGATGGTTACCCTCTGGTAATCTATCACTGGAAAATCTTGTTGTCTGGCTAGAATTAAAAATTATACCATTAAACATTTTCTTCCATTCTTTCTGACTATTCTATGTTATTCTCAGAGTTTTATCTCTGAGGCACATGAGAAAGTTTTGATGTTATACCCTCCAGCATTACTTGACTCTTTGGTACCTGATCTGTCTTATAGTCTGAGAGAAATGAAATTTTGCGTGAACAGAAACAATTATAAGAGATCTTCGACATTCCAAGGAGATTTTAGTAGAGATGGTCAGACGTATGTGATAAATATGGTTTATCATACCACACAGACGTATAAAAATAAAGGAACTATCCTTTATTTTTTCCCATGCAAAGAATTCTGCCTTTGTTTTATTTGAGATTTGGGGATTTGGTTGTGTCTAATGGCTAAGCATCTACCTGTTGGATCGGACTTCCTCAAGCAAATGAGTCAGCAATAGAAGGAAGAATGTGTTTTGAAGATGTCCAAAAAGACTTCCAATTTACCAAAAGTAAGTACTTAGTTATTGACATTACAAAATCTAAAAATTCATTTTCGTTAGAGTGGATCTCCCTCTGGAGGCCTTCAAAAGCACCTTTCTCCTACATCTAGAAAGGGAATTTATTTATTATAAAAATTTGTTTGTTTGTTTGTTTATTTATTTGGAGAGAGAGAGAGAGAGAGAGAGAGATATTGAGGGAATCACCAGGCACCTAGGATTAAGATACAAATGCTGGAGCTATATAAATGGGTCTCCATGCACTATCCTTGCTTTGGGAAAGCAGAATTAGTGAAAAGTTTTTAAGAGAAAATGAAAACAACAAGCTAGCCCCATTGTGGAACAAAATAATCTTCCACTGCTTTATTTCTAAACATTCTTGTCCCTAGAGGTATCAGTAAGAAAGCAAAAAATGACGGTAAAATTAATACATTTCCATTGTTAAAGGCTGATAAACGAAGTCCCTACTAAAGACAACAGTATTTACATATTCTCTGTCTGAGGGTTTGCAGAACTTCTCATTTCTACTCTCATCTCCATGTAAGAGAGCACCCTAAATTTTTCCTAATAAGTTCCCAAAGCTTTGTGTTAATGTTATAATACAAACAAGAAAGACAACTAACATGTTAGTCTGGCTAGTGTACGTGAGCAAAGAAAGGGCTGACAAAAAACCACAGTGCCTTGAGGCAATTTCTGCAGCAGAAAATAAATACTTGGCCTGAACTCAACTATACAGACATAATGTCAAAAATGAAGTAGCTCCTGTCTTTAAAGCCCCTGAGAGTCACTGGAAAGCTTCCCCAGACTTCAGATTACACTGTAATTTATTTTTCAGTGATTTTATAGTGAGCAAATCACTGAACTGACATTAAGGAAATGGAGTTGGTTTCCTGTTCCTGACAGAGATTATCTGTGAGACCCTGAATCAGTCATAATGCAGTAACCAAGAGCAGCCCTGCCAAGAAAGACTTGGGGGTGCTGGTGGATGAGAGGCTGGACATGAGCTGGCAATGTGTTCTCACAGCCCAGAAAGCCAGTCATGCCCTGGGCTGCATCAAAAGCAGCATGGCCAGTGGGTCAAGGAAGGGGATTCTGCCCCTCTACTCCGCACTCATGAGACCCCACCTGGTGTACCATATCCAGCTCTGGGGTCCCAGTGCAGAAGGGGCACAGAGCTGCTAGAGTGAGTTCAAAAGCGGGCCATGAAGATGATTAGAGGGATGGAGCACCTCTTCTATGAGAAAAAGGTGAGAGAATCGCAATTGTTCAGCCTAGAGAAGAGAAGGCTTTGTGGTGACCTTTTGCAGCCTTTCAGTACTTGAAGGGAGCCTAAAGGAGAGCTGGGGAGGAACTTTTTACAAGGGCATATAGTGATAGGACAAGGGGGAATGGCTTTGAACTGAAAGAGAGTAGGTTAAATTAGATATTAGGAAAAGAATCTCAACTGTGACGGCACTGAAGCACTGGAACAGGTTGCCCACAGTAAATGTGAAGTCCTGAACATACAAGAGAGAATACTGGTTTTTATAAATTGACACAGATATCCTGTAGTGACAGCACCTCTTACAGAGAATAACAAGAGTTACAGTTATCTAGAACATCCCAGGACAGAGTCCAGATAGCTGCTATTAAAAAGTCATAGACATAAAATTTAATAGGGAAAAAGAAGGCTATCACAACTTGTATAAGTCAAAAAACTTTAATTCCAAATGCTGTACTAATTTCCATTCCACCACAGTTTGATGTATTTCAAGAACGAAGTTAACCAGTGGCTGGTTTCTAACTGGGGGCTTGGACCAAATTTTCATGCAGTCAGATAGAGAATTTCACAACACCTGTCGATCACCAGTATATTTTTATATGCTTCACAAAGTGAGGACTTAACCATAGAATGGCTAACTGAGAACACTATTAGTTTAATATCATCTTATTCTACCTGTCCTGGTAGCAACATTTTTTACGGAAACAGGCCAGCCTATAAGAGGAAAGACATTGAACTTTGAACCTCTATTCACATGAAAATACTCTTGGAAAATGAAAAGCCACTTGCCCTATGAACAATTAACAGGATCACTGCATGACCTGTGGGGTGACTTTGGTCAGCAGATGGGCCTGACCATTTAAAGTCAGCTACTTTTTCTCTGCTCCCTCTCTCACTAGTAAAGAGGCCAACTTTACGCTTTCTATAATGAAGTAGATAATCAAAACAAGAAATAGATAAACATCATTATAGAAAAATTATTATATCTTCTTATCCATGATTAAGAAGTATTTTTACGTTTTTGCTACCCAAAGTCCCAGGCACAACAGTACAAGCCATGAAGCAAACCTTACATCCCTGTATTTACCAATTCCAGACCTGTGAGAGCACATGGGATGCAACAGCAATGTCAGCAAAGCTGTGATGTTTAACTAGCTTCAGTAACATCCAGGTTGCACTTATGAATATTTGGAGACCCTTGGTTTAGACTGAATAGGTTTTCTCAAAGACATGTCTTTTCAGAAAGGCAAGAAAAGGCAGTCAGGTTCTTCCCGGTTGAAAGCCGATTCCAAACACACACAAAAGCATGCAAGAGAAGTAAGATTTATCCAGCATAGTATAGGTTAAATATACATAAAACATAGTAAATACTTAGAAAAGCTTGTAAAAGGCAGGCTGTACAGACCACTCCCTTAAAAGGGAAGCCAGCTCCCATCAGTCTCTGCTATCTTGTTGACTAGCTGGTTTATGTTCTGACTGTGATCCACCAGTAGGTTGCCCCTTGCCAGCATCCTCCCTGTCATGCTTCTCACCATGTAGGGCTGACCCACACCAACCAAGTACTCAGCCACCCAGTAACCACCTCAGACTCTATCCTCAGCAAGGACTATAGATACCATACGGTTCCCTTCATGCACAAAAGGAATGAACCCAGTCCCTTCCTTCATGTTTTTGCCCTTTGCCTCAAGGCAAAGGGCCTTTACTTCGCTTTGGTTAACTGAGGCTGCAGAATAGCCCCAATATGGTTTTCATCACCACTTTGTTGGGGTTTTTTTAGAAAGTGAAATCACAAAACAGACACTTCTGAAATCTGAGGAGAAGAAAAGTAGTGGGCCTTTGGGTATCAGAGAGAAATTCATCTTCAAACCATCTGTAGCTTGAGAAGCTGCGCTACAAAGAAAGGGTTCCCAAAGCACTCAGACCTTGGAGTTTGAGAGTAGCACACACTGTGTCTCCCTTTAGAGATGGAGGAAGGAGTGGCTGGAAAATCGCAAACCAGCAACCCTGGCTTGCATGCTTGGGGAGGCTCTAGAAAAAAATTATGAGACTATTAAAGATTTCTCAAGTACAAATTGTTTCAAAATTATCTACTTTTCTGGCAGAGCAAAGAGCCTAGCAGATAGGCAATTTTGCAAATAATTGGGTATTTTTTATTAAACAAGGTATCTGCACTCACTTCCTACATTTTTTTTTTTTCAAATTAAAGGTTAGGACACTTGACTTGACTCCAAACATCCTGCCTTTGCAATCCTCTCCAGATGGGGTAAACAGGAAATCTTGCATAATTGTCAAGGTTCCTCATACCAGTTTGGCACTGAGGTGCTCTTATGAAGCCTCAGTAGATTAATTACTATTGGAATTATGATCAGGGAAAAAAACAACAGCCCAGATGTTGAGCAAATATAACGAGTTGAACATTTTATTTCTCAAGTTGTCTTTGTGCAGCTCTCTGGACTCATCTCTCTTCCAAGGCAAGGTAGGAGTGAGGCAGAGCAATGGGCCAAGACCCTTTATCCTGTTATACCAATTAACTGGTCAAATAGCATAGAAGTAAAGTGTTTGCTAATGGCCTAAAGTAATCATCTAGAGTAAGTGTCTGAAAAGTACCTAATGTGGATTTTACAGTAAACTTCAAGTAACTGTTTTGAAATAATGCATTTTGGAAAATCCTGTTCAATAGCCAAGCATATTCAATAGTACTTAGTGAATGCAGCTCCCTTCTCAGACCTCTGGATCTCACATTTCTTTCTAGACTGTGGCCCAGTTCAACCAGAGGGGCCAAATATACCACCTAACTTTTCCCTGTCACATCTACCTTTGAAATGGTTAGGACATTTTCCTGGGATGTGTGGTTTGGTCTGCCCTCTGCCTCATCAGAGCTCAGAACCAGATCTTGTGCTTGTCAGCAGTCCAGAAGTTTACCACATAAGATAGTTGGGCAATATGGATATTTTCAAAGAAAGAAATCAATCCAGCCTGGTTCTTTCAAAACTGCCAAGAGGGAGTTTTGAAAGAATCCCTCTCCTAACTAGGAAAGGGATTATGGTTTTGGAGAAAACAGCTAATTCTAGAGGTAAGCTGCATACACCTCCATGTAAACTGCATTTAACATTTCTGCACGGTTAACCATAATTCCTCTGCTCCTCCACTTACAGGTTATTTGGGGAGGTCATCCTTGTGACACAGTGAGTACTTTCTCCCTGCTCAAAGAGTCTGAGGGCTAGCTCAAGGCTTTGAATAACAGGGGTGTAAAGGTCAAATACCTCAGAGGAAGACACTGAAAGCTCTGGTCTGGTAGATGATGCATGTTATTGACTTCTTTGTAACATCATGAAGTGTCAGCATTAAGGATCTGAAAATGTATGATGTGCTGTGTACCTTTCCAGGCAGTAAGAAGATAGCAAATTCAATGCAAAGGCTAAATTTCACTGCCTATCTGCAGGTCTCAAGCATTCTCAAATACTGAAAGGATCACAGTGGTTCAGTGAATCCAGGATAGGGTTGGGTCATTATTTGAACAGCCTCTAAAAATACATCTTGATGTTGTGCTTTCTGGAGGAGACAAGGGGAGGATCTGAAGGTAAAAAGGAGGAAGGTACTTGAAACAGGAGAGGAATAGCACAAGAAGAAAGGGGAACAGGAAGGCGAAGCCAAGCATGCAATAAGAAGACATGTAAAGCAAAGGGAAGTCCATGTGCATGGGTGTAAATATGACCCCTGACAGGGTGACTCTACTGAGCATCCTTTTTTGTATCCTGGTAGCTCACACCCTGTTTGTGCACTGACTGTGTATGGTCAGTCAGTGTTTTCATGGTAATATCTGAATGCAGAGAAAAAACATCTGCAAGCATTCTTTTAAATATATTTGTGTAGTTGATTTTCAGCAGCCTAAATGGTGTCTTAGAGGACAGCCTGGAAAAAGGCTAACAAGGATCTAAAAATAGAACCTGGACACGACAGATAGGTCTGACCATCAAAAAAAAAAACCACCTCAGGGGGAGTCCCACAGCAAAAGAACAGTCCAGTTCAAGTCACCACTCTTAAAATGTTTATTAAAATCTGCCATATCATTGCTGGTACATCACTGTAAAATGAGGAGTCAGATTCCGCTTCGGAACTGCATAGACTTGAAAATCCAGAGCTAGTCATCAGAAAGTTCAACAAAACTGTGCTTCTGCATTAAGAGGTTTGTGGTAAGTCACAAAAGCTATCAAGCTGTAACACAGATTAACTTTACCTCTCTAACCTATTGCATCAAGCCATGGGCCCACAGAAGAAGTAATATCTTCAATTCCAAACAAGCACACTCCCAAATGTGGGCTTACAAATCCTCACACAGATAAATTCTGTAGTTCATTTGACTTCTCCTGGTCAGAGTTACTATAAGATGCAAGCATTT